GGAGTACTTCATGGAGGTGATGGTAATTGAATTGAGGCTTGAAAGGTATAGTACAATTTGAACAAATAGAATTTGAGAGAGGCAGTCTAGAGCAGATTGAGACTTTAAAGGCTGGTAAAGGCAAGCATGTAATGTTTGGTTCTGTTCTGGAATGTAAGGGAGACTAAGAGGAACAATATACGGGAGAGGCAGATTAGATGGATGAAAGGCCTTAGGTTTCAGGCTAAGAAGTTTTGGTTTATTTGGTAGATATTGAGGAACCCCTCCTGTTAAATGACACTAATTGATATACTAGTAAGAAAAGGTGCCAGGGAAATACTTGCATGATTTGAAGTCAAAGTTATTGAATTTAGGTATTAATGTGTTCTAATCCTCCCCCTATGTCAGTCTAAAAGATTATAAAAACATATATTTGGAAAACCTTGTCAGATACGGTATATTCTCCAAGTATTAATGGTAGGAGAGGTGTTTGAAGATATTTCTGGATGTGAGGGCTATGAATTTGAAATTGTCATTGGAGAAACAGAAAGAGGACTGTCATTGTAGAGGTGGAAGGGACATTGTTTTTAGAATGCTTTATAGAGACATCTTTTGGTATATATTTAAGAAAACTTGAGTACTCTTAAGTAAAGAGAAGGTTTGAGATATAATTCTGAAGATCTGTAAGCCATTATTAATTTGAAGAAGGGTCAGAACCAGAATATTCAAGTGAAGATGTTTAAGAGGCAGCAGAGGATAAAGAGCTGAGTCAAAGAGAGAATGGAAAATTGCACTCACAGGCTGTTTTAGATAATGAAATTAAATAGCAAGCATTTCTTACCATGTAAATGGGTAATATACAAGAAGATTTTTTTTTTACTGGTTGGTCAGAACACAGACTACTCTTTTAAGAAACCATGTTATATATGGCTTTTAGGTCATAGTCTAGCCGTTCAGTTTGACCATGAGGTCAAAAAGGGGTGGTCCATCACCCTTACAGAGCTTGTGAATATTATTTATTAATATTTACCATTTTAAAAAAAATATGAATCTTGTCAGATCTTAAAAATTGAATCTTCTATGTCTCTGTCTCTGTCTCTCTCACATACACACATGCTTTTCCAGCCTGTCTTGAAAATTCACATTTGGGAAGACTAAGCCTGCATTCTTATACAACAAATGAAGTAGCAAATACAGTCACCTAAGGGGGGTTAAACACCACCTCTTTAGAGACTTTACCCCAGAACCCTACAATTTTGTTTTATCTTGCACCTGGCTGCTTTATAGTTTTATTTTTGGGTATTCTGTGAAAACATATTTGGAAAACTTTGTCAGGTTGGGTGTATTCTGCAAAGATTAATGGTGGGAGAGGTGTTTGAAGATATTTGATGGATGCAAGGGCGATGAATTTGAAATTGTCATTGGAGAGTTGGAAGAAGGACTATCATTATAGAAGTGGAAGAGATGTTATAGAATCATTGAATATTTAAGAGAACTTGATTGCTCTTTTGTGAGTGATAATTTTTGATCTTCATGATGTATTTGTCTACCATATTATTATTCCTAGTAATATTTGCCTTGAAACCTAACCACTGCATGTAATAACTTTTAAAAAATGAGATTTGCTTAGATTACAAATGAGATAGCAGGAATAGATTCCCTGTCATTCTAGTAGGCTTGGATATACCCCCCGCTCCCCACCCTTGCCTTCTGTTTCCTGTAAATCCTCCACAGGACTTCATTCTTCATTCCCTCCTTAACTGTTGGTTGTTTCCTGGGCGAGAAAGAATATTACCAGGTTCACATTTCAGAAACCAAACAAAAAAGTGAAAAACACTTAGGTTGTGTTGTGGAGTGTGGTTAGAGGGAGTTAAGACTGGAGGAAGGAGAATGAATATTCAGTAGGAACTTTAAATCTGAGGGTCAGGAGAGAGGTGTGGACTGGATTATATGTGTTTGGGAATCACTACCAACACGTAGAGGTTAATGCTGGAAGTGGAGTGCCTGTTAAGGACAGAAGAGGAGTAGAATGAAGTCTTGGAAAAAGTGACACTGAAGGGGTAACTGTAAGAATAGGACTAGCAGACACTGAAAAAAGGTCTGAGAAATAGAGGAATCCATCCAGAAAGAGGGGTGTCATGTAAGCCTAAGGGAGAGTTTTAAGAAGGAAGATATGAAAAATTAGCTGAGTGAATGCAAGAAGTTCAGCAAACCCAAGAATTAAGAAATTCACATTTGGATTTGTCAGCTAGGAGGTGATTCCTATACTGATTATAAGATGTTTAACTTCCAGGATGTGAAGATTTAGTAAACCTTTGACTATCTGTATGAATTTGTTAATGTGAAAAGAATGGAATTTTGTTTGTTTGAATCCCAACAAAACATTTTTGTCACATAATAACATCATAAAAGAAAAGAAAAACAAAAATGTGTTGATAAAAAAATAATCAAATGATGAATTAATAATAAATTAATGATACTTTTAGTATCATTTAGTGTTATATTTTAGTGAATATGTAAAGTTATCATCTAAACTGGAATACTTGTAAGAAGGAAAGGGTAACTATGAGTAATTTTAGTACATATAAACCTTATCTATCCCAGGTAATCAAGGAGGAATGCTCACCTTGATTGTAGTTCATGTTTATTGAGTGCTAGATATATGCCAGACACTGAGATGAGTTCGTTACCAGTTTATATGATTTAATGACTAAGGTTTTGGTTGTCAACATTCATAATTCTGTCTTTGTATATACTGAATTTACTGACAGAAATGCTGTATATAATTTTGATGACCTTATAGAACTTAACTCTTTATTTAAAAAACAAAACAAAACACAAAAATTGGTACTTACTCTATGCCAAATTATGTCCTAGGGAATGGAGAAATGAAGATGATTAATACATGGTTCTCATTGTTAATGATCTACCAGTATGATTGAGAAACTCTGAGAACAGAATTGCAGTATAATGTGGTAAATATCATGTTGAATATTTTGTAAGGGCCACAACTTGTATTTTATACATTATGTCCTGTCTTTTTTAAGGTTAAGTTTAGAGTGTTTTTGAACTTTGTAAGGTAGAGTTTGCTTTTTTGTTGAAAAAAAAAAATCACCAATGAAAAAGACAAGGTATAGCTAACTGTGTGTTTAAGTGGGGTTTTCGCTATCATGGAGAGTATGTTCTGTGTTTGTGCACACGTGTATGTGTGTGTGTATGTGAGAGAGAGAAAGAGATCAGTTCTGTATCACAAAGGGATACATTTCCATATCTATAATGTAATTTTAGCCACACTCAAGCTATATTCTGTGAAGGGTCTGGCATATTTCTCTGACACATCTGGTAGATATGTGTGGCATTAATTAGCATAGGTATTGCTATAAATGACATGTCAGTCCAAAACAACAAAAAGTATTTGTTACTGATGTCAATCATTCATCCTTTGTCAGTTCAAAAGGCTTCCCTAAAGGAATGCACATTGATCTTCACTGATCCAAAATACAGCAAAATCATTTCTGTGTTCTAGAAACAAAAGTGGAACTACCTGTGTTTGAAAAGCCGTATGGAGATACTCGAACAAAAAGTGTGCATTTATAAATTTGAGTAGTAAGACTGTTAAATTAGACCAAGATTAATTGAATCTTTTGAAAAGAAAACAGGGTTTTCTGTAATCCTAATCTTGTTTTGAGTGTTTTCTTCCTCAAAGCCTTAATTTTTGGGAGCTTAATTCGTGTTTTTGTTTCACCTTGAAATAATTTTGAGGTATGCCAAGTAAATGATTACAAGTATCCCTTACAATGTTTAAAAACAAAAGTGATCACACAGGTATCAATTTGTGACTATATTGATGTCTGAAAGAGGTACTCTTCTGTCTACACATATCTGGTTTTGTGGTTGGCTATTCTGGTATAGATATCGATGGACTTTACTACAATCCCATCACATTTATCTTTTTGTAATTATAATCACAAGTGTAAAACTCATATTTCTAAGCAAAAACTGGCTTTAAAGGACACATTTCCCCCCCAAAATCTATATTTTATTTACAACTCTTTTCCAAAAGCTCCCCCTACATTCTAATTTATTATTAAATGGAGAGCAATATGAATGACTTTAAGATAAGGCAAGAGAGTGTGGTCTAGGGTGTGGTACAGTTGAAGACATTTATCTTAATATTTCATTTTAATGAGGCAGAAAATATCCAATATTAGAAAACTATAATTTGATAACGTTTGTAGAATACAATTAATTCTCCTAAAATTATGAATGTTCATACCACCAAAGGGCAGATAACCACACGTCACATTTCTGTGTCCTTGTTAAGGGTTGTATGTGTTATATTTTTACATCTTACAGATTTGCTAGAGAATTAACATGAAATGGGATTTAGGATGTACGCATGTTATACACTTTAATTTGATCAACATGCTTTGTTTAAATAGCAGTTCCTAATCTTTGTCCCATCTTTAAAATTTTCACTCCAGATCTCTTGCTCTGCTTACAGATCCTCTGCTATCTGTTTCCAGTCTGTCTCATGCTCTTGAAATCATCTTTTTTTATTATTCCATTAAAATTTTTAAAAATGGATTTTCCTTTACACTTTTCTAATCATCCTGTAATTCTTTAGCTCTAAGACATTAAAATGAATGAGTAAAAATATTTGATACCTAATCGTCTCTGCCAGTCCATTCAAACTCATGGATTTGCAAAATTATGTTAAAGTCTTTTAAAAATACATTTGAGTAGGCTTTTGTAGTCATTTGGATTTTGAATATTAATTTTCTCTTGCTATGCTGCTTAGCCATAAAAATGAAAAAGAAGATAGATGTGGGTTTCTTTTAGTGGTGTTAATTTAAAGTACTTGATTTATTTATTATAATATTCAACAATGGCAGTTCCTATTTTCTCTGTTCACATCAAATCCAACAGAAAATAATGAGAAGCCCCCCCCCCCACCAGCACAGTAAGAAAAAGTTTGATGCATTTTGTAATAATTGATTAAAAGTATAATTTCCCCCTAGATCAAACAAATAATAGAAGTCTGTTGAAGCTTTGTCCTGACCTATTCTGGAAGTAGAAGAATACCCTGGAGAAAGGAGCATTGTAAGCACAAAGAATAAGACTCCTCAATCCTGGGAGAGAGAATTAAAGTCTAACCCTCCAAATGTAAGTCATCTGTACTCTCTATTTTCCATCCCTAGTTTTTGTTGGCTATTCAGGTATTAGGAGAGAAATATGTAATAAAAATATTTGGATTTTTTTCTGTATAAAATATACAGGTGTTTTGCTTGGTAACTTTAAATTCCTATTTGTGTTAACATTTTCTAAATAGTAACATAAGGTAATGCTTTGCAATAATAATATTTAATGCAAAATGGATTATTTTTATTTTATCTTCTGGCAGAGAACTGGTAAGAATTTTGAGAGTATTCTGATGAAAAGAAGGTAAATTCCTTTGATTTAATATCTGCAATTGTGCCATCATAATCCCTTTTTGCTCTAAACTTTAGTTCTTTCTTTTTCTTTTATATTTCTTTATATCTGAGAATAAGACTATCTTAATATATCTATTTAAATCCACCTTCCAGTAAAAGAGACATTAAGTCCTTTTTTTCACTTCACATAGTGAAACTGAATTGGAATGAATTTGTATCCATAATCCACTATAAAAATATATAAATTTTGTCAGCTCAGTGTCCTGGAAAGACTGATTCCCTATCTTGTTAGGAAGAACTTAAAAGATGTGTTTTTGTGATTATAAAGACAGAATTCAGTTGTGGTTTAGAAATTGGTAGAAAGATTGATAATCAAAGACAATACTTGTTTTGAGACAGTTATTTGGAAGAAATTTCTTGGCAATCACAACTTTTATCTGAAAGGTGATTTAGTGCATCATCCTTGTGATAAGGCACTTGATACATTGTATAATGGCTTAACTGCCAGAAATCTGACTTTTGCATACCAGTTGATAACCCTTCTCACTCTTCAGTGAAAGAATCAGTGAAAGAGTATTGATTTGATTTTTAAAAGTCTGAAGCATGAAAATCAATATTTATTAGAGTTGGGTACAACCAGATTATATGTTTCCCCACCCCAGTTACCTTAAAAATTGAAACATGAATTTGTATAGGTCTTGAATGTGATACTCTTATTGATATAGCATCTGACGAAGTTGTCAAAGTAGTCTGTAGTAAGAAATCTTCAAAATATCTAGGTTCACATTTAATCTTTTGTTTAGAACATCTGATAGAGCCTTGAAACACTGTGGCCATTCCTGATAGTCTATAATTATAAGTTAGGATTTTTTAATTTAGCTGAATCCATGTATAAAAAAAGAAATTTTTGTTTATGGTCTTAGATAAATTTTTCTATCATTGAACTCGATAGTGATGCCTTGGAGAAACACTACAAACATTATTATTCCTTTCACTGACATGAGACAATTGCTCCTCATTTATAACTTTAGTATTTGTTATTGAAAAGTATTGCAAGATTTTTAAAAAGTTATTTAAATTTGATGAGTGAGTAGTGAATTCTTATTTACAAGTTTGAGGTTGATGAAGGATTAGAAAATATTATTTACAGAAAACTTCTGTGATCCTCTACTCTACAGCAATGAAAATAGATAAAAGTATAACAACAGTAACTTGGTTGAATTCCATAAACATAATGTTGAGTAAAAAAACCTAAACATGTATGTATGAGTTCTTCTTTATAAAGTTCCAGAACTAGAGTATAGTGTGTAGGATGCAAAAAGTTATTACAACGAAATTATAGATAATAGTTAAATCCTAGGTAGGTACTAGAAACTAGGGTGGTTTCTTGGAGCTTCTGGTATGTCAGCTGCGTTCTGTTTTTTCACTAGGCTGGTGGTTGCATGGGTATTTATGCTATGAAAAGCCATTAATGAAAAGCTAGGTGTGTCTCTGCTAAGATCAGGTACAAGGCAATGAGTCCTTACCATTCCTGTTTAATATTATACGGGAATATACTTAATATTATACTGGAAGTCCTAGCGAAGGTAGTAAGATAAGAAAAGGAAATAAAAGGCAATACAGATTGGGAAGGAAGAAATACAACTGTAAATTTGCAGATAACATGATTGTCTATGTAAGAAATCTCAAAAAATCAACCAAGGAAAACCTCCTGTAACCAATAAACGATTTTAACAAGGTTGCAGAAAACAAGATTAATATACAAGTCAATTGCTTTTCTGTGTACCAGCAATGAACAAGTGGGTTTTGAAATTAAGAATACAGTACCATTATATTAGCACCAACAAAGCAGAAACCCAAGTATAAATCTAATTATGTGTGTGTGTGTGTGTGTATTAGGAAAACTATAAAAATTCTGATTAAAGAAAATCAAAGCTCAAGATAAATGGGGAGATATTCCATGTCCCTGGAAAAACATACACAATATATGGTTATAATGTCATGTCTTCCTTTCTTGATCTATGTATTCAATATAATCCCAATAAAATCCCAAGTTATTTTGTGAATATTGATAAACTGATTCTTAAGTTTATATGAAAAGACCAAAGACTGTAAATCACCAATGTAATATTGAAGAAGAGGAAAGTTAGAGGGCTACACTTGCTGACTTCAAGACTTTGTATAAAGCTACAGTAAGCAAGATGGTATGATATTGATGAAAGAATAGATAGATCATTGGAACATGAAGAAGGAGAGCCCAGTAATAGACCCCACAAGTATAACCAACTGATGTTTGACAGTTATAAAGGCAATTCATTGGAGAAAGGACCGTTCTTTCCAAAGTGGTACTGGAACAATTGGACATTCATATGCAAAAAAATCTAGACTCAAACCTTACACCATTTACAAAAATAAATTCAGAATGGGTCATGGGGCTAACTGTAAAATGAAACATTTAAAAACTGTTGGAAGATAACATAGAAGAAAATCTAAGTGGCCTTGGGCTTTGATATGACTTTTTAGATAAAATGGTCAAAGTGCAATTCATGAAAGAAAAAAATGAAAAATTGGACTTCATTGAAATGAAAAACTTACACTCTAAGGAAAACACTGCTAAGAGAATGAAAAGTCACAGACTGGGAGAATATATTTAATAAAACCCATGTCTGTTAAAAGACTTGTATCTAAAATATACAAAGAACTCAACAATAAGAAAGCACATAATTCAGCTAAAAAGTGAAAAGAGCTTTAAATAGAGTTAATGAAAGAAGACATAGAGATGGCAGATAAGCGTATGAAAAGATGCTCAGCATTTATTTCATTAGGGAATTGCGAATTAAAACAATGAGATACCACTGCATACCTATTAGAATGGCTAAGATCCAAAACACTGACAGTACCAAGTGCTGTCAAGGATGTGGAGCATCCAGCACTCTCATTCATTGTTGGCAAAGTGATATAGCTACGTTGGAAAACAGTTTGGTGGATTATTAGGAAGCCAGACATGCATACATGCATATTACCGTGCAGTCTGGCTATTGCAGTACTCGGTAATTACCCAAATGGGTTGAAAACTTATGTCCACATGAAAATTTGCAGGAGAATGTTTATAGAAGCTTTATTCCTAATTGCCTAAACTTGGAAGCAGCCAGTATGTTGTCCTTCCATTGGTGAGTGAATAAACTAGCTGTGATATATACATTCAATGGACTCTTCAGTGATAAAGAGAAATGACCTATTAAGCCACAAAAAGACATGGAGGAAACATAAGTGAATGTTACTGAGTGAATGAAGCCATCTGAAAAGGCTACATACTGTATGATTCCAAATATGTGACGTTCGGGAAAAGGCAAAACTGTGGAGACTGAGAAAAGATCAGTGGTTTCCAGGGTTGAGGGGAGGGACTGATGAATAGGTGGATTTTTAAATTTTTACTTATTTATTTTTGAATAGGTGGGTCTTTAGAGTAGTGAAACTGTTCTGTATAGTAACGTAAGTGCAGATACAGGACATTAAAAATCCAAAGAGCTGTACAACGCTAACAGTGAACCCTAATGTGAACTCTGTACTTTAGTTAATAACAGTGCTTTAATATGAGTTCATCAGTTGTAGAAAATGTACCGCATTAATGCAAAATGTTAATGATAGTAGAAACTTCATGTATTCTGGAGATAGGGAAGAGAATGTATATGGGAACTCTGTGCTTTCTGCTACACTTCTCTGTAAATATAAAACTGCTCTAAAAAAATAACATCTTTCAGATAATTTTTTGCAAATCTGATATAATTTAAAAGATTAAAAAGCAGTCTCAGTGATTCTGTTAATTAGAATTTTGAGAAAAGGTGAGATAACTTCAGATTTGATCTGTGTACTCTGAATATTCAAAGTTAAAAAGATATAATTTAAAATCAATATTTTGTGATCTCACAAAGCAGTGTATTTTATTTGGGGGAAGTGCTAATGTCCATAAAGTCAGTCTTCTATACTTGAATATATTTAGTAACATTTTATGACAATTTATTTATGTAGCCTAAACTTGTCTTTATTTTAAGGTAGACATTTCAGTTTTGATTTTAAGAATAGATATTTTTTCAATAATATACCCCAACCTCATTCTGTAATAATGAAATACTCATCTTTATTGAGGCGTTCATAGCTTCTTTCCTTAAATTTAATGCATTTTATGCAGTGGTCTATCATCCTCAGAAATGCTTTCTTACTTAAGTGGGACTTTAATTTGTTAATTTTAACATTAGTATGTTGTAAAAGAAATGGAAAACACAGATGCTCTTTGTATTCCTTTTTTGAATACAAATTTTCAAATACAGATTCAGTTTAAAAATACCAGATAGAGACTTCTTCCTAGTCCCTTTTTAATTTTTTCTTTCCTATTTCTTTCTTCCCCTCTTCCTTTTTCCATTCTACTTTCTCCTTTCTCTCTCAGTATATTCTATTATTTAATTTTCTAAGGAGTGAATATAATCTTATTTAACTAGTTGACATTAACAGAAACCAGGAATTTATTATTCATAAAAATGAAATAGAAAAATCCCCCTTTTCTTCAGATTCTGGATATAGCTAGGCTCAACACAAATGTCTAGGGAGAATGCATCTGTTGCTATTGCATTTTTTTTGTTTCTCTGAAAACTTGGCATTTGTAATATATCTATGATTTTGATTTGTCTTGGCCAAAACCCAGATTACCAAGGAATTACATTTTGAACATATTCA